ACGAATAATAGCAATCTGTATTGTCTCGGCACTCGTCTAACGTGACGCCGATCGAGGGGCGGGAAAGCGAACTACGGCAACAACGGAGCTTCCACTATGCCCTAAGCGCCGAGATTGTGGAAGCGAGAGGGTACCTTCTACCACCCCTGGGGGGCGCTGAGTATTCCTGAAGGAAGAACTCAGTAACCTCTTCATCGTGAACAGTGCCTTTGAATCCGTCCAAACATCCCTGACATGCCATTGCCGTCACGGTGATCTCGTACAACCTCCATTTCTACCACTTTTGAAAAACTTTGAAGTAGGCGCATTTTCTCGCTTTCTTCGCCACCGAAGTACTCCTCTACATCAACACTTTCACTTTCTTCTTAAATGGGGTACCACAAAATTATTCGTAGACAGAAAAGCTGTGCAAATTCATTGCTGCTCACTTTTTCTCCCCTAGAGAGCTACTCCACTGGGTCTAACATCGGACAAGTATCTTTGGATTGGGACTCAGTCGGTTCGTGGTACACAAACCTCTGTCACAGGACATATTCAGCCAGGAATGCTATCAGTGAATTTCCACACAGGTACGATATTTTGACCTCTACCCAACTTGATAGTAACTTAATTGTTGATTCACAATCAAGGTTAGTGATTTATAGTATCCAATGCGATGTTTGCACCACGTGATGATGTTTTGCCACTGATTATTCAACTTGCACCAAAAGTGAGTTTTACCAAAACTTGTTTTTCAGTCGAAAATGTGGTCTTTTCGAGGTCCCAAGTCTTCAGGAATCTTTCATAGCTGCGAATACCTTGAGATATGCTGACTCACAGCAAGACGCTTTTGTTCCCTAAAGCGCCATGCCCCTGAACCGCCTCCCATTAGTTTACTTATCACCTCCCTTCACTCCCACTTCCCTTCGATAGCCCACCAATGAGAGCTGCACTGAGATTCATTGATCTCCAATGAAAATTTTAGGAGCGCACAGTGTATCCACCAAGATAGAATTTTGCCATACATGTGTCGTGGGACCGAGCGGCTTGTTCGAGCTACGGGACCTCCCTCATTTTTCAGTATTTATAAACATTTTTACATGAAGAAGAAGCATTTTCAGTTGTTCGGAGCTGCCCTTATGCTTCTACCATCCAATCAGTCGATGTCGCTGGAATCAACGGCTTCTTGCAAAGATGAAGATGGCCCACCGAGTTGGAATGACGGCGAGAAAATCTATGAGTTTGGGATTACACATACAATTGAAAAAACGGAAAATAGTCAATTGACTCATTCAGTTGACTGCCTAGTACCAAGTGAGCACTGGACCCCTGAAACCCTTGCACGTCTTGCAATTTGGTTCCACAAATGATTGTAGAAGTTGAGAACTCATTTAAACGATTCTGCGGTTTTGACTGGATGTAAAGTACGCGGCGCATCCCAAAGGCGTCTGGTTATCGTCGAGTGATGTAACTTTGAACTGGGGCATTCAATGAATTACAAAGCGAGCAAATTTTTATAGCTATCAACTGGTTCCTTCAAATGAAACAGAGAACAGCGAGCAAATGTTTTTTTAAAGTTGGCCAGAGGGTTTGATCCCATACAATTGGTTGGCAAAAACCTCATGTACACTTCTAATCCCTTTTGATATACGACAGCAAAACTATACGGAGCCATTTTTCGGGTGATTGATGCTTTCTGATTAAGGCTGATGAAGATGGCATTCGTGAAGGGCAATCCATTCCATGTCGACGACGGCCATGATTCCTTCTTCTACACCTTCAACAAATATGGAAAATTGAAAAACTCGATGCTGCAAATTTCAAATTTACGAAAAAATCCAAAAGGAGGTCTATACTGGGACAAGGTGAGGACCCACCTAAGACTAAGCTACTTTCCTACCTTACTTCAACTGAAAAAGATTACATCCAGTTGGTCAAACAAAAAAAAAAACATAAAAGTGAGTAGATACATCCTAAACGCATATTTTACGATCAGATCAGGCTGTGTAGATTTGGAAAGAAACTCCCACCTCTACGTAGTCGATATTTGTCTTGGTAACGATGAATGCGGAAAAGGCACAAAAGGGGCTCGAAAAATGCCTGATCTCCCTCTGTCTACCCCTTAACATTGTTTTTTTTTGCGAGTTATTCGTTCTACGGCTGAACCAGATCAACGCGAACCGTTTCTGAACTCTTCCTTTCAATATTTTTCCGAAACGCGAAAAATAGATATCTACGATTTCCACGATCATTTAAAAACGTTCAAGTTGTTCATTCAATCAGGTGGGCATATTTACCAACAATGAGCTTCGAATGGCTGACGTGGAATGGCCAGGCGATAAAGCTAACCCGCCTCAAGGAACAGCTGACAAGTTCCATGTGAAGGTAAGCCTACGCTAGACTTCTCAATACTGGTACACGGTAAAATATAGTTGTAAAGGACCATTCATTTTCGATCCCTTGTCTGCGCTTCTCAGTTAGACGGTAAGCATCCGGCATTGCGGGGTTGTAGTTGTCCTTAGACAGTATCCCCCAGTAGCCTATTTTTTTCCATTCTTACCTTTTGCATGGAGCCACCATCTGATCACCCCAGCGCTCCTCCATCAAACTTGGGCCAAAACTCCATCGGACTGACTAACAATTGTTTCCAAGCACAACTACAGTCAAGCAATGCCTGCTGCTTATCCTTCTCTGCAACTAGCCTTCAAGAGGCACAGGATGGTGCAATGACCCTTTCAATTACATTTTCACATGGAATATTTATAGCGGTGTAGGATAACATCGAATATTTCTAGAACGAAATTTAGACAGTTTTAAAGGTAGAGAGTTCTTGACAGCTATATAAGCTTTTTCTGGTTTCTGGTTCAATTCGAAGTAATCGGGCAGGGGGAATCAGAGAGATGATACTGACAAGCCGTATCGTACTAAACTATGATTTCCCTGTTGCGGAATAGCGTTTATTCAGGTAGTCACTCTTCATGAACCTTTCAGGTAGTCACTCTTCATGAACCGCCATTTATTATCGTATCTGATGTCGATCCGGATACAGGACGATGTCCTGGAAATCAGGGTAGTATCTGTGATTGGGGTGATGAAGAAATTGACGTACCTGGCGAGGGAATGAAGTAAGCTGTATAAATCGGTGACTTCACTTCTGTTGCCTTCTTATCGATTCAGTTCAGGAATCACACTCTATGGAAGTGCTGCTCTGGCTACTGCGTTGATTTATTAAACAAATTGGCCAACGATATCGGTTTCACCTATACGCTTTACAAAGTCCGGGACGAAAAATGGGGTCTGAAAACGGTGAGCGGCCACAATAGACGAAAAAATTTTTGGACGAAAGAAAATTTTTAACCAATGACCGGGTCATAAACTGAATTCCTATCCACGTCAACTCCTCGAACAAATGGAAGCATAGGTATTTTGTATGGACCCTTTTCAGGTAAATGATTGGTTGAAGGGTTCAGCAGTTGGTACAAATATTATATAAACTCTGGACAGAAAAGAAAATTCGTAAGACGTCAAAGGTTGATAAGGACTTTGCCAGCATGCGCCATGTATTGAACCTCCACTCAGAATCACAGTAGCAATGAATGCTTATTTGATCTTAAAATGGCCTATGGGGACTAGTCAGGCTGCGAATTAACCCTCTCAGCAGAGTTCGGCCGAGTCTGATCCCTGAGGAATGGAAGATTTGGGGTTGGGGTTGAGCTAGTTTCGACTGGTATAGAATATCCTGTTCACAATGACCGCATACGTGTCGCAGCGATTCTTGGCAATTACGATCTTCGCCCAGCTTCCCACAGTAATAGAGCTCTGAAATTGTCCCTCCTGAATGGCAATATTCAGGAGGGACGACTGACTTGTTTCCGGACAGATGCACTGGTTCTTCACCGACATATTCGTTCCATGAAGCAAAATTGGGCCAAGAGAGGATCAACTTTAAGTTAAAGGTTTTTGTACGAATTCTAGCGATTCAGGAGAATGGTTGGAATGGTCTCATCGCTGATCTGATCAACAACAAAGCTGACATGTGCGTTACATCCCTGAAGCTGAACTCTGAACGTGCTCGAGATATCGATTTCTCGCTACCGTTTCTTGAGACTGGAATCGCTATCATTGTAAAAATCAGGAGTGGAGTACTATCACCTACAGCGTTTCTAGGTCAAAACGGTTTTTCCCTCCTACTATCTATTTTCAAATGCTTCTCAAAGGCATGCGACCTTCTTTCAGAACCATTCGAATATTCAACATGGGTGATCATCCTGCTAGTGTCGATTCAAGGAGCTGCTCTATCCATTTTCATTTTTGAATGGGTTAGCCCATACTCATTCAATATGGGAAAGTATCCACCTCCAGGTGAATCGGCTCATTTTAGCAATGTCCTTCTTGACAGAATAATAACTGAACTACTGTTTACTGTTTACAAGTCTTACTGTTTGCTAGTCGCCCCCATGAAAAGGCTGAACAGCCGCTTTTAGTATCTACATACTACCACCCTGACTTCTCAGATAACTTAAAAAAACTTCTCCAGATCACAAGTTCTCCCTGTGCCGATCGTACTGGCTAGTATGGGCGACGCTATTCAGTGCTAGTGTGTCTACTGGTTCGTTATTGTTACTACCCTTAGCATTTTTTCACCTTTTTGAAATGTATTGCAAGCAGCATACGGTATACAGTCGATAGTAATAATAACAACAACGAAAAAGTGATAGTAAAGACTTCGACGTCCATCAATCACTTCTTAGGGATGAGCCCACGTATTTGACTTCCATTGAGAATCGTCGTAGCGTACTGATTGCGTATACAAAGGCTTGCGGCGACCAGCCGATTAACAAGACAGTGGGGTGTAGTGCGTTAGGAACGAAATGGTCGCGTCGCGGTGAGAGGGGCGTCGCGCGCGAAGGAATGTAGCAGGATGCAGNAACAAGACAGTGGGGTGTAGTGCGTTAGGAACGAAATGGTCGCGTCGCAGTGAGAGGGGCGTCGCGCGCGAAGAAATGTAGCAGGATGCAGCAGTAGGTAAGAAATACAAGAACAAAAGTACTAATAGTAGAGTTATGCATTAAATAATGATCGATTGAGCTGTATGAAGAACGCTAGAGCCGTAATAACGGCGAATGAGTGGTCCGCGACAGCAACGTGCGGCAAATCGATTACCCAAAATCGTTCCTAGCGCCCGTCTCCCAGAACAGTGCTACCAATTGACGGACTCCGGAGGGATGAAAGGCTTGGTTGGCCCAGGCGGATATCTATCCTGGATTCGCACCCGTGACCATGCGTATATGACGTGCGCTACTTGCCACTACACCACCCAAGAGTAGCAGAAATTAATGAAATAATTAATAATAAGTATGCTGATGTTAGTCTGATGTTGAGGAGTAGAAGTTAACAACAGCACAATGATCAGTAATGTTAGTAATGAATCACAGCATTTAGTAACAGCAGGTGAAAAGGTGGAAACTAGTGAAACATAATAGACCAGTCGGCTACGCACGCTCTCGCGCGCGCTCGGGGCTCTAACAATGAGAGACGGAGTCGCATGAGCTGATTTTCATTACAGACCTTTATGAGATTTATGAGTTTCCGCTCAAACCTCGCCTCCTGTGGGCGGAGTCTGGTCCTGCCACCCACCATAAAGTTTCCCCATCATGGTGTCTGCACTCCTACCAAGTTTGAACTTTCTAGGTCCATGGGGTCATGAGTTATGAATTTTCGCCCGAACCCCGCCCCTTGTGGGCGGAGTCTGGTTCTACCACCCACCATAAGTTTCCCCATCATGAGGTCTGTACTCCTACCAAGTTTGAACATTCTAGGTCCATGGGGACGGGAGTTATGAATTTCCGCACAAACCCCGCTCCTTGTGGGCGGAGTCTGGTTCTGCCACCCACCATGAGTTTTGCCTCCATGACGCCTGTACTCCTACCAAATTTGAACTCTCTAGGTCCATGGGAACCGGAGTTATGGATTTTCGTATATCGATGTAAGAAACGATGCGAGCTTTG